GGGTTGGTCTCCCGATTCTTCAGTTGCTGTTGTAGGATGTCTAAACGCATTTTGAAACTGCGTAAGCGCGCTCAGTAGCACCAAAAAGAGCAAACGTGTGATGCTGAACTCGTACAATTTTGTGACATAACTCGGCTTCATCAGTATAATCAGTGCGCTACAAAGCCACAGCCATACAACTTACTATTGATATTATCACTTAAAGGGCAAAAGATGGAAAGTCAGCAGTGCAGTATGACGTAGAGCCCAGATATTTTTAATGTTTAACACATTGAGCGCAATAAACGTATAAAACAACACTGAATTGGGATGTCACTTGGTTAAAAGATTCGGCCATTTAATGGCCTGGGTGGCAACAAAAGCATAAATTTGAGTACAAGAAAAATAGGACACGTGGCAGCTAGGAGTTCTTCACCAAAGAGGGAAACCGTATAAAGTATGCATCTCGAGTTAAGTGGACTTTTATGTTTCCAGTCAAAGTGACTCTTGAATGAAGGATCAGCTACTCTTCGCGGAAAGGCGCAAACAAGTATTAAGGAAACTACCAACGGGGGAAAGCGTTGGAAGAGAGCATATTGTTCTAAACTAGCCAAGTTACCGCTACTGTGTATCCGGCTTTCTCAGAAAGCACGATGGTCAAAAAGCCAAGGAGAGGGAATTTACTACATGAGATTATAGCCAGGGAAGACGGGGACCACAATCTTTTAGAGCTATTCTGGTAATAGCAAAATTTTAAAGCAATTTTAAACCCCCTCAACATCAACCGAAGGACAAATACAAAAAATTCCTACTTTCGCAAAACAACTTGGAATAGGAGGTTGTAAAGCTCAGCAATAAAATGACAGAGGTAAACACTAAACTGGCTAGCGGTAGTTCGACGTCATAATTGGCCGTCCGATAGCGAAGGCGAGGAGCTAAGTAATTCCCAGAAACCCTAATTTTTTAAGAGGCAATCTGCCCAGACAGCTTATGAGGCAAATCTACTCCATATCTAATGTCAAACTGGTTTGCTGAAACCCAGCAATCGGTTCAAAAAAGGCATGATAGATCAACGCGACGAAAAACATACACAAGTGTGTATGAGGACTGCTCATGTATACACACAAAACCAGACACCTGTTTTCGCCACCATCAACTGACGAGTTGACATACCTGTTACTTGGTGAACCAGTTCGCGGATGCGGGAAGCGCGCCTATCGCGTTGGCGCTTGTTGGACTGACGAAATCGGTAGACAGCAAAAACGCCTAGTCCAATGACGGTAAAAATAAACAGGATCCAGAGGAGAGTGGCCAAGAGACGAAAGAAGGAAAACAGGAGCAAGCGGAGGCGGCATTTTCCGGGGATGTAGGGCTGAAGGCTTTCTAGTTCGATGATCGGATCATGCTCACTAAAATGATCAAAGCATTGAACGTCAACCGGGTGGAAACTATTCCTGGTCGTGCTCAATTCAATGTACCAGATATAACTTGCGCATAAGTTTCTGATGTGGTAAAACATTGCAGAGAGCTCTAGTTATTGTATCAGAGGCAAGATCTGTTATATGAGGCCTTTGGAAGACACCTGCAATCTTGTGCATCGTTGCTGCTAAACTGACACTGAAATTTAACGTAGCCGAATGCACTCCTTCGCATGAACATTTGAGGGTCTTTTAAGCAGGTTACGAAACCGGAGGGTGTCAATAAGGGGCCGTCGAAAAACAATCTCGTATAGCCTAGAAAACGCAAATCCTCTGCACGTAACAAGGCGTAGGAAAGAAGACAGTCAATAATTAATTTTGGTGATTTCGCAAGTAGATAATAACATAAAGTGTTCTCAAACCCATATCGCGACTGCGATAGGGGATAAAAACGAGGGAAACTTGCGAAGAAATGATCGGAAGTGTGTAACGCGAGGTTGCAAGTCCTACTATTCCATTGAAAGAGTTCGGTCTGTCTGCATTTCTCCAAGGAAACCAACTAGCTCAGTCCTATTTAAAAGCTCTCTTACTGCTTTAAATTTTAGACTGAAAGATCTACATTTACCAACCATGGTGCGGCAAAAGCTTTAATATGTGAGGGAAAATAATCTTAAAGAAGTGCAGCTAGGCGCTATATTATCTAGCATCTTAGGAACTGAATGTGTGTATGTTCGACCATCGATTTCGATGAAGTCCACCAACTGAACCAACAGATTGGTA